AACACATGGAGTTTCCGAAATTAGGGGGTACCTTATTGGGGTGCTTATTCTCAGGGAATCCTACTACTTCGGGTCCATATTAGGGGTCGCCTATTTCGTAAGCCCCCACGTGGCTCCTTCAGTAACTCGGCTGACCCACATGGGTATTTCCTGGATAGGCGTATTTCTTTTTTAAAATTACCTCCAAATACATAGAACCCCCTTATCAAGGGACGCCTCGCAACACGGTAAGTATAGGCTTGAGGGCTCACGCTTGGAGGATGTGCCCAGGCACTTTGGGGGTAGTCCAGAGTTTAGGGTTTAGATTCCACTGGGTCGAGTGGCTCAGAGGTTTGGGCTTTCCTTGTTGGGATTTAGAGGACGGGCAATGCAAGCCCAAGCGTGGGGCGACGTGCTTCAACCCACTGAGTTCTCACACCCGTTGCTGTCGGCTCTAAGCCAATTCTTGTGCCCACAACCTTAGTGTGAGGTTCTTGGTAAGAGGGGGCGGAGTTCCGAGCCGCGAGTGCTTGGATCGGGCCCCTGGGCCCCTGGATCGTGGACGAAAAATGAAACAACTAACCTCTTTGATGATACTGGAGATCGAGGGGCCTGCCCAGCCGAGCACAGCCCACCACCGCAGTTCTCGTCACTGACCTGAAAGACAGCCCAAGGAAGAGGCTTGTTTTCGAGGTTCTAACCCTAAACCCTAAATCAACCCTAAACCCTAAATCTATAGTTAGGGCCTCTTTTTTAGGGAAACCTACCCACAGCAACAACCAAGGGATCCGGCCTTGAGGCCATCTGGGACATCTTCGCCACCGCCCCTGCGATGCGGCACCCTGAACCCCTAAACCCCTAAACCCCTAAACCCCTAAACCCCTAAACCCCTAAACCCCTAAACCCTAAACCCTAAGACGGCTGTAAGTAGAGTCTCCGTGAAAAACATCCGAGACACCCTGAACAAATTGTGAGCCCTAAACGCGGCCAAGTTATGCAAACTGTATGAATCCCCCCCCCCCCCCATGCCCACAGCTTGGGTTGTTCCCCTTTTTTCTAACAGTCCTTAGTAGGGATACTGTAGGGATTATCATAGGGGGGGACGATATTCCCTATTCAGACTGTGAGTATAAGGTGCAACATCCCAGCCCACAGCCTCGAAACGACATCTCCGACAAAAAAGCGATACCATTCGGCGGCTTCTCGAACAGACACCGCCTGGCAAAGGAAGCTCGTCCCGCCGCATGGGTTTTTGCCCGTATTCTGGGAAGGACTTGCTTAAATTTTGGCAAGTGATGCGCACTTCCTGAATCGCCAGAGTCGCATGCATCAAGCATTGAGGGCCTAACAGCCTCCCGCAAGGGAAGCCTTACACATCCTTACACCCTTTTCCCAAATCCGATAAAAAAACCCTAAACCCTGAACCCTGTCAAACTTAAGCCGGACAGAAATGGACGGCGCCTTGCCCCTGTACAGCGCCATGCGTTCCTCCGGGCCTACCGACAAGTCGATTTGGGGAGGCGGCTTCCCAGTGTCTCCATTACCCGTCCAATTTTGACATGGATGGCAAATGCATCCGTCACTAGTGGGATGTTGGTTGATGAAGGGGTATTGGGGTGCCTGGGTTCATTTAGCGACAGCAGGGCTCTAATCTAAGTTCGCTGTGGCCTCCGGCCGACAGGAACACGCAGACTGTGATCAGTTCTCCTTCCCCCGGCTCCACTTGCATGTTGTATTGCAAAAGAACGTGAGAAGCCCTGCTCAGCACAGCTGCATCCACGAGAGTTATGGAAAATTGGCCTAGTTTGTTGGTGGGAGAACCCTTTCTTTGGTGTTTTTTGGACTTCTTGGCTAGCACTATTCTACCCTGAAAAAACCCCCCACGGGCCCTGCTGGGCTCGTGCCGGCAGCGACCCAAAAACTCCAAGAGCCGGCAGCAGCGCTGACCGCCGAGCCTTACCAGCATGAGGGTTCAGGCTTAGGTGAAGGGGTCATGGGGGTTCACGGCCCTAGGGCTTGGGAATCTTAAGGCTTTGGGTTTAGGACTTGGGGGGCTCCAGGACTCCAACATGCCGAGCCAAGAGAAGGTGAGATCGGTGTGCGGACCATGGACCATAGTGTTTGTTCTCGAGACCTTCTCGGCGAACTGCGAAACTGTCGCTCTTGGAGATCCGAAGTGCGAAGCCGTCGTCGCTGTTTGTTCCTGGCCTCGCTAATCAGGCGTCCATCTGTTGGCTGCAAGTCACAGCCGACCCTCGCCTGGATGCAAGTTACATCTGGTCTGCGTGTGTCCGTCTGTGCAATCCTGGCTCATCAGGAAATGGTAAGCTTCTTTCTTATTCCTTCGGGTGTGGAGAGCTTTTTGCCATTGAAGCGCAATCCTTGGAGAGCCCTGGGTGTGTTCTTGGGGCTTCTCTTGAGGGATGTTCTTCAAATGTGCCAGCGGAATGTTGTCTGGAGCGCTTGGAATGGTCACCGTGCATTTTGGGCGTGCTCTTGGACCATGGAGGACAAGGAAGAGCACTTCAATGGTCTCTCACAGCGTCGGGTCTAGACCCTAAACCCGAAACCCGGAACCCCGAAACCCTAAACCTTAAACCCGAGTCTATACGGACATAGCCGACCTTTGATCAGAGTCGCCAAGCCCAAAGCCCTGAAACCTAGCAGCATGCTTCACCCTAAGGCTTCACCCTCAATTTTGAACCAGCTCTGCGCTGATGGTAGTCCGCTAAACCCTAATCCCGGCCCTAAGCCCTAAACCCTAAACACAAAATCTGGGCTCTGATAAACTAGCCTGTCCGATTTCTTTGAGGACTCAATGTCAGCCTTTGAACTGGGGGGCATAAGGATTACACAATCCCCCCACCAAAAAAAGAATAACAAATAGAATACGCATACAGAACATTAATGTGAAGAAGAAGAAGAAGAAAATGCTACCCCACAAAACCCTAAGCCCTAAACTTCATGAGAGGCTACTGTATTGTGGGTGCGGGGTGCATATTGAGGGGCAGGGGAGTAGCTGCGGACGTGGGGGGGGCGCCTGGTTTAGGGTTTAGGGTCAACCCATCGGGGCTTTTAGTCCGGGCTCAGAGGGATTCAGTTGGATGCAGGGCCTAATGGACTCTTTGCGGGCCAACTTGCTGTTTCATGAAAAAGGAATCCGTGGTTGTTTTACATCCCTTTTGAACTCTCTAAGCCCTATTGGTTTGGCATGCGCTGGCTGAGGATCGTGAGCCAAAACGCTGAAGAAACCTTCATTTCTTTCAGTTGCAGTCCCTTTGGCGGCCCCTGGTATAAGACGGCTCCGTAATTAGGAGTAAACTGGAGGGCCACATCTCCGAGAGCTAACCATATTGGGATCGGCTGGGGGCTTTTTAAAAACACTCTCGGGGAATCCAAGCCAAGGCACAACCGGCACAGAGAACGTGGTCTTGAAACCCGCGCAGAGGCATGCTACAAGCAGCAAGGGGCGCAGCACCTGCAACACGACCCCGAAAACGAATCCTAAACCCTACAGTAAGCCCCCCAAAAATCCCTGCTGAACTCGGAGAACTGAACCAAAACCCTAAACCTCCAGAATCTCTCGCTGATCGCTACACCCTAAACTCCCTCATCAAACATAGCGAGTTCAGCCACAATAAGTAGCCCAACCTCCGACCTAAAGAAACGCCTACTAAACACTAAACTCCAGACAAATGCAAAACTTCAGAGTCTTAAACTCAAGCTCTGGGACCTCCAACCTTGATAAGGGATTTAGGGTTTGGGGCGTGGAGTTTAGGGATTTCCGGATTGGGCTCTGCGGTCGTAGTACAGCTTTTTGGGGGTCCCCAACCTGCCAATCTTGGGGAGGTGATGGCTTACACGATTGAGGAACTTTTGAAATCCGTCACCATGATATGGATGTATTCCGGTATAATGATTTCCATGTTACGAGAACTGAATCTGAGTACCTGAACAGCAACCCAGCTTAGGGGTCTTCGGGTTCAGGGCAGGCCCTTGTAGCGCTGGTGCGGCTCGTGCTGGGCTGTTTCGCCATGGCGAGATCCCAGTGACTGCAGATCTGTGCACAGGGGCCTGGGATGACCCTTATGATCCCGAATCCGAAGTTCTAAACCCTAAACCCTAAACCCTACAGGTTCTGCGACGGTTGCCATGTCAAGCGTCCTCTGAACACGAATGTGAAGTAAGGATACTCCCACGATCCCTCCCTTGCGAGCGCTGTTTATCTGAAACGTGGCCTGGGGAGCCAGAAAACGAGCGCAGGTCCCACACTTTCCGAAGCATCTTAACGTAGCAGGATGATGCACAGGAAATGACGAGTCAACATGAGAGTCTTGGCTCAGCATCAAGTCTTGTCTCCCGGGGGTCTACTCAGCCGGCGATTTTTGTATCTTCCTTTCGCGCGTCCTGCTTGACGGGACTCGGCTCTATAGATGTGCAATGATTTGCATCTGAGGGCGATCTGCGACTCCACAGTCGCATGTTTACGAGATTTCTGAGGAACTTTGGCCCAGCTGTTGAACCACGACGCTCCACGGGTCCAGTTGCCGTGTTCGCAACGCAGAAAGAGTCTTGCCTCTAATTCCTGTAAGGGCCCTTGAAAATCTCAGGCCAGGGACTGGCAGGTGACAAGAAACCACCAGAGAGACCTTGTCTCATAGGTACTTCTATACATTCAAACACGGTCATGCTAGAAAGACACATTACAAGATCAAGATGAGCTGTGCAAGCCATAAGAATGGGGGTTATTGCTATTGTGAACATATGAACGGATCGCATCAAACAACACCACTGATTCAAGGCGATCCTTGGCGACCGAAGCCATCTGTAAATTATGCCTCGCAGGCACGCGAGTCACGAGAGTGTATGGCTAGTCGCTGCAGTCGCCACAAAACAGAAGTTGCACGAATTTGTCACAAGACTACATAGTAGATCCCCTACAACTGCCGCCCAAAAATGGCAGTTCCGCACAACGACTCCCAAAAGGGACGTGACACCAAAAAGCGAATCGGATCAACAACTCATCTCCCATCATCGTTCACGCAGTAAGGTGCAGGGCAAACCGAGTGCTGCTGGGGGCACCACTCTTGGTAGTTCGGATCGTTGCACCACGGATTCACTGCACAATCTCGATTTTGGGTGCATCCTTGCACTGCCCTTGGCGTGGTCGTCGTGGAACTCGCTACGGTCGTCTGTGTGGTTGTGGTAGTGGTGGTCGACGCCTGCCTGCACCTGTAAGAATCCAGCAGCTGGAGGACGTCCGCATGTGAGAGCTGGCTGCGTTGGCCGACCGCTCCAATCTTGCTTGCGGGAATTGTCTCATAGATGGGGCTGCCATGCAGATTCGGGGGGAGGTGCATGATGCTATCAAAGTCATAAGGCGCATAGCCCCAGAAAGCATCCCCTTCCCCGTCATAAGCGGAACCGGTATAAGCCGCCTCCCGTGGAGTGAGCACAGGACGCCAAGGGTATGGGACATTCTGCCAAAACACCCGCAAGTACGGTCCATGTCCATGGTAGTTCCCTGTTGCGTCGGGTCTCTGCTGCTCGTCCAGCATGCCAAGGGTGTGGCCAAGGTTGTGAAGGATCTCGCCCACATGGTTCCTTGGATAGCCCCTCTAAAGCCCTCTGAAAAATACCCCTGAAGATGCTGCAGCCCTTTGAGAAATACTCCTAAAGATGATCTCTTAAAACCAATGCAAGGGTAAGAACATCAACATATCCCAAGGGCCCACTGAGGTTCATGTTCATACATGAGCCGAGGTTGAATCGCGTCTCCGCGTGTGCTCCGAGATGCGACCAGCAACTCGAGGAGCTATAGACTCCTTGGTAGCTTTAGGAACCAGCTTCTAATAAGGGCACCCTTTTTTGGGGGGGTTTAGGGTTTGGGGTTTGGGGTTTAGGGTTTAGGGTTTAGGGTTTAGGGTTTAGGGTTTAGGGTTTAGGGTTTAGGGTTTGAGGCCCACCAAGATTCCGACTCGAAGCAGAGCTGCAGCCGTGTGGTTGGACTCGACTTCCACAAACCTGATGCAGGTCACTGTCTGATATACCCTGGTGGCTGCCCGAAAAGCTTCCTTGCGCGTCTGGTCTACGTCTGAATCGAAAAAATACGGTACGACCACCTCCTCCGCCCATTCGCCAGTCGCGGCTGGCCGGCGATCCCTCCAATTCCGCCCCATCCAGCAGCTCCCCAAGCCGTCACAATGCCGAACAAAGCTGGGACAATAGGGACAGGCCCCTTCTGCCTCTTCCGATGTCAGCAAGGAAGGTGCCGTCGCCGAGGATGTCTTTGGCTCTAGATCGGGCCTGCCCTCCACGTCGGGGTCAATGTGCCCAGTCACCTCATCACTATCTTCCGTGGGCTTGTCTTGACTGTCATGCTGCTACTTCCAAGAACACTCTTCATCCGAACATGGTGCCATGACTTATGCGCCCAGTCACGATAGAGTCCACATAGTTGATATCCCGGGCGCTGAGTTGCAAGCGAGCCGGTGGCACGCCAAAACTCAGGAACGGGCCGCGGAAGCGATAGATGCGGATTGGGCAATCCGTCCTGCGTTCCATGTTCATGAGCCAGGGTTGGGGCTTCGGGCATAGAATTTCCACTAAAACCCGGTGTTTCAAATAAGCAGCTTAAACAGCTATCGAATCCTTCAAGGTGAAAGAGTATGAAGAGTACTCCAAGATTGCTTCAAAACATCTAACGAATACAACCACGCAAAAAACCGCAAATTTGCAGTGCTTTCCCTTTTCCTGGCCGTTCATGACAAGTGGGAAAATCGATGGAAACCATTCATTATGCAATGCCACTGCTCTTTGCCATATGACATTTCATGACCGACATGGAGAATGGGCATTTCCAGGAACGTAAAGCAGCAGAGAAAAACCACTGCATAATGGTGGTTCCAGTGGCTTCCACATATGCAAGATCTTCCAGAGCCTTCTCACCTGGGAACCCAACGCACCCCCCCCACCCCAAACACCGCACCCAACCACCCACGCCACCCCGACCCCATCAAAACAACAAGAAACAGGGAGTGTAATGTGTCGGTGGTTTGCGCACACGCATGAACCCACCGGTGGTCATAGAAACGATGCAGTATCTGGACAAGCAGGTGCCTCTTTGGCGCCAACAACCACACGGAGTTCTCAGTAATGAAGGTAGCCTTAATTATAAAACACACACAAACGTAGGAACTCGCTCATCTGGAAAAAAATCTGCATGCAAAGCAAAAGCAAGGACCACGAAGCAAGCCATGGCAGTGATAGCCAAATCAGAACCTTCCTGTCAGGAAGGCACTGGATCATCGGATCCGATTGCCTTCCTCCGCAAATCTGCTTGCCTGCCTTTTTTGGCTGCTCATCTCAAAGTATGTCAGGGAGACATTCCCTAAACTTTAAACCCGAAACCCCGAATGTGTCCTGCATTCCGACATGGCCTCGCTCGGCAGTAAGAGACCAGGGCGGGCCTCCTTGCCCATCCAAATAGCCCGGTTAAGTCGGGAGGCTCCACAGCGGCACTCCTAGCCATCCGCTACACATCATGCAAGGAAGCTCCGGGCTACTGAAGGAGTTTAGGGTTTAGGGTTTAGGGTTTAGGGCCAGGGTTTCTTCCAGAGATTCGTAGGGCGTCTGCGGCCTGAAGTTTTCGACGTGTGCTTTGTTTTTTTTTTGTACCGGGTAGTTCAAAGTCTCAGGGATAGTTCATTACATCGAGAAGTAAGCCTCCAACTACTATACGTCTGATCCTGTTCATACGAAGGATCCTGCAGCGGAATAGTGGAAATGACAAGCATCCTAAAACTTATTGGGAAGATGCACACCTACCGACGCTATCCGCATGCTTGGGTTCATGGCCATCTATGAGAACTCCTTGCCGCCCACAATGCCAGAGAGATCCAGCCCTTTGCTGGTGCAGAAGCTGTAGCAAAGTGATGTGTCGAGGGCATCAGAGCGCATGCTGTAGAAGGGTAACCCGCTGCGGCAGGGGCTGGTTGAGTTCCAACGGGCGCAGGCGTCATTGTAAGCATCAGGGCTCTCATGTAGCCCGTCATCACTCGACAAAGGGAAGCAGCCAAGGCATTCAGGAACGTCCATCTCTATGTCCTTAGACTCCTCAGCTGTGAAGCTTGCCCTGTGATCGTTGGCAGCTTGGCTTTCGCAGGTTTTGCTCGCTTCGCTCACGCAACGCATCGTGCTACAGTCACATGCCTTCACGTCGACAGGCTTTTGCAAGCCGTCGCACTCCGCATCTTCTACTGGCCGATCGTTCATTGTTCGACATTGCACGATGCGGCGCTGCAGCGGTATATCGCACTCTACGATGCATTCTCCAAAGGGGCCTGTTGCCCAGGACATGGCTTCCTGCTTTGGGCTGACGCTTTGTCGAGCTTGGACCTGCAAGTAGAACGCACCCTTCGTGGCTGCGGAGGATGCCTCTGCCCATACAGCTCGAGGGACCGAAAGAAGCAGGAGGATCACTGAGGAGGTGACTGCCATGGCTATTAGGCAAAGGCACAAGGGGGGGGATGAGGCACAGCTTGTGCAGCAAAAATGCTATCACCGATTCTTGGAAAGCCAGCGTGAGCTTGCATGTCTTGCACATGTCTGCTGAGCTTGACAGCACTCATGTTAACAACGTCACCACTTGACATAACACTGCGACTGCTACTCCTCCTACAAGGGACTTCGAAAGACGAGTCACGTCACATGCGCGTTTCCCTGGATTAGGTTGCCTGTTTTCTCGGAAAAACCTTACAGAATCTGCCAACGCAACCTCGCCGAACCTCGGAATCGACACGGGAAAGACCTCGTTCTGTTTACAAGGCCCATGTCAACTCCCTCCAACCCCCAAAACCCCAAACTAAACCCACCAATGGCCTACAGCGCAGCTTTCGGCTGGTTTTGCGTCACTACTGACCGCACGTGTCGGGCTGTCGGGTGACTTCTGCCTACACGGCTTATGTACACAACTAGGCCGCCGCGAGGAATCTGAAGTGGTCAGATTACTCCCAGAGCCGAGCCCTGCCCAAAATCCTGGTTCCACAAGCTCCCGGGGGGGACTCAATTCCTATTCCGTGCGAGCGGGCACTCAGACCGCATCGCTGCAACACCTAGAAATCACCTAGAAAAGCTTGGGCTCTTTGGGGGGGATCTCTTGCCTGGGACACTTCGTGCCCGTTTCGAAGCAAGGGGGAACCCTCGCACAGTCACCCGCAGTCATTGCCTGCATTTGTTGGAACCGATCGCAAGTCCTCATGCTCTTTACTCGACTCCGTCGGGGCGATCTGCACGGCCCAGAACCACAAACCGAGTGGACCATGGAGTTACGCTCAAGCTGATTCAATCATCCGTGAACTCCACGAGCAGCGTGCATTGGCCCTGCCGCACACTCGCTCTCCTCTCGTCCATCCTACTCGGAGATTCCTGGTACTTACAACCCAATTATGACTGTACTTATAACGCACTTCTAAGCCCTTGAAGTGCCCGAATATGGTTACAACTGGGTAATAACTACACTTATAATTGGGTTATTAAGTTCCATGAACCTCCAAGAACTCTCATCCTAAGCCTCCACCCCGCGGCCAAAACCTCATGTGCCCAAGAACCGCCAAACCCTGCAAAAACCCTCAAGCCCCAGTTTCCCGCCAGCCTAATCCGAGTCCCTAAAACCCCAAAAGCACCGAAAACCCAAGAACCCTCAAAGAAAACCTTAAAGACCTTATCTCTAAAACCCTCCCCCAAACCCAGACGGCTCCCTCCCTAATCCCTGAACCCAAAACTCCAAACCCAATGCCCTGAACCCTGAAGCGAAAACCCTAAACCTTCGGCCCTAAACTCTAAACCTGGAACCCTGTAAACCCTATAAACCCTAGAAACCCTAGAAACCCTGTAAACCCTGTAAACCCTATAAACCCTCCAAACCCTATAAACCCTATGAAGCCTCATAAGACCCTACAACACCCCATACAACCCTACAAACTCTAGCCCTAAACCTTAAACCCTAAACCCCAAACCCCAA